CTTTCATCTGCTTCTGGCTACGGAGATCTGGTAGAATTATCAAGGAGATGATAAATGTGTAGTTTAGGATCATGCACAGAAGAAACATATTTAAGTTCACAAATATACTTTCAATTTAACAGAATAGTGACAAGACATCAAGCAGATTATATGCACATAAAAACATGTAGCTTTTCGGGGAAGGTGGAACAAGACAATATGCAGCCCGTCAGCAAATAGCACAGAAACACACAAGCAAGTAATAATACCGATAACACAAATAAATACGAAATGTTATCTGAAGAGAAGGTATGACTCACAAGCACTCCCACTACGGCGGAAATAAATTTTCTTGAGGGGTATTCCATTTGCCCTAAACAAATTTGCCAACTTATGGACTCTCCCATCATCCTTTGAGCATGTAATCTTCACCATTTGAAGGTCTTTGCAAGTAAATGATCTTCCCTGTAGTTTGATACCTGTTTCTGATGCCTTTCTGGTATTGAAGTTCTTTTGCAGATCAAGAAAGTTGTTAAGCATGTGTTCAGGTGCTCAAAACTGAAAGATAATCAAGTAAGCATAAGCCCCAAATATGTAATTACACATACAATTTTAAGTTGGAGAAAGAGCTTCTGTATATTAGGTGAGTGCTGCAGCAAGAAAATTAATGCATCAAAGTCTGCAGCCATACACCATTCGCCAAGGGACAGGGTCTTCAGGTTGTCAAAAGTTGGACACATATTCAGTTCCCTACTCAGAACCACCTACACATTGCACATAAAATGAGTGTTCAGCAAATAAACATAGTAATTTGAATCAATTTTATATTTCATATACTGAATACAAGAGGTTTATTTAATATGCAGAGAAGAAAACAAACATACCCACCACGAAAAGGAAAAGACATACTATAATGTATTTGAATCAACTTCATATTTGAATCAACATACTATAATGTATTCAGCAAAGAACAATAATAATTTGAATCAACTTCACATTTTACATACTGGACATAAGAGGTCTATTTGATATGCAGAGGAAAAAAGCATACCCAACACGAAAAGGAAAAGACAGAGAGTAATGTGTAGCCATGATTAGCGCCTATTGGTAAAATATGATTCAGCATTCTTTTCTATAATGTGAAGGGACGTTGCCATTTTACGTGCATACTCAAAATAGTTAATTATACAACAATATAAACAGTAATAAGAATACAAGAAAATGGCAAACATTAATCTGAAATAAATAAATGATGAATAATGGTCTGTTGAAGCCACACACACTTCCATATCTCATTGATTTCACCTACTACTTTGATGATGAAATGAGCTAGTACTAATTTCTTGATCTGAATTCTGAACTCTTCAGCAAGTCAACTGTGCTAACCAGGGGTTGGTACCTATGTACGAAATGTGCACATTGGACATATATGCGTTATATTGGGAGCAACATAAATGTCTTTTGTGAAGATCAGAAAAGGCTGCTAAAAACAATTATGGCTATAGCATGGAAATTTTCGTACTCAAAGATAGAGAGATCAGTAAAAGGTGCTGACAGCTATACCTCTCCAGCATCAGTCAACAACTCCAAAGTTCTAGCACTTGAAAGAGACCCAAGAATATGACGTCCACCTAAAATCTTCCTGCCATTGCATTCTCTGTTTCCACCATAGTTACCATTTTCACTGGAAAGCTTGGCCCCTTTGTAGCCATACTTTGCATCATTTGCAATCTCACTGTATTCACAGGTATTGTCATTGCTATCGATATCACTACCATAATCAAAATTATCCTTGTAATGACCGTGCGTGTAACTTTCTTCAGCAAAAGTATGTCCATATCCAAACCTTATAAAATGATCATATCCAAAATCATCACCCAAGGAAGAGTCATCATGAATCTTAGAGCTCTCTGTCCAATCATTATCATCGCTCTCATCCCCGTCGTCATCAGTAGTTCCATCACAGTCATCTTCATCACTGATGTGTTCAAAGTCATCACCCAAGAAAGAGTCATCAAGTATGATAGTGCCTGTGACCAGTGACCCCAAGTTCTTGAACGATGGGACTCGGACGTAAGGTGTGGTGAGGCGCAGAAGTAGGAGGTTCGGAGCAGCAATGGAGAAGGCGCAGTTGATCTTGCATTTGAGCATGATTAAAGTCTTCAAAGAGGCAGACACAATCCCAGGGCCTGTCACCAGGCAATCCTTCAGATCCAGCTCCTCCAAAGACGTGCAGCTAGAAGAGAGCTGCTTGAGGATCCTGTCGTTGAGCCTCGCATACGACAGCTTCAGCACCTTGAGGTGGCAGGAGACGAACTGCACGCGGTCCAACGACGCGATCTCCGAGCGATGCCCAGCGAGATGGATGACCCGCGCGTTGCGGTTGATGGCGGCCCTGATCCACGCGCTGGCGTCGTCCTCGTCGTAGCCCGCGTCCTCGTCGCCGGACCGCAGGCGGAGCGTGCCCACGGGCGCCGACGCGTCGCGGAGGAGGAAGAGGCGGTGCACGAAGTGGCGGAACTCCTCCGGCGGGTCGGCGTCGCGGCCGGAGGAGTGGTGCAGGCGGAGGTCGACGCAGGGCGCGGACGCCCAGAGGTGGCGCCACCGGCGCGCGAGCACGCAGGTGCGGACCGCCTCCCACGCCTTGAGGGACGACATGATGCGGTGCAGGAGCGCGTCCGGGAGGGCGCTGAGGCGGTCGGGCTTCACGGCGACCTGGACGCGGGAGCCGGGCTTCCCGCCGGCGCCGCGGCGCGGCCCCGGGCGCTGGGTGGTGCTCCGGCGCATTTCGTCGAGCAGAAGAGCTGCACGCAGGTTTAGGGTCACACGGCGCGGCCTCGTGGAGATTTTGTGATCTGTGGAGGAAGGGATGGAATGGAACTTACCAAGAGGAGAGAGACTCGGCGAAATGGGCGGAGTTTGTTGCCGCTTTCTCGGTTTCCGGCGGCGGCTGATTGAGAGTGAATTGTGGAGTGGGATGGGGTAAACTCGGTCTTCTCTTTTTTTATTGAGAGTGAACTCCACTTGTACCCCCGTTTGTAAATTTGTGGCATTGTCAACATTGAAAAAAATAAATTAAATTGTGGCAGTGTATACCGAGAGACGCTCGACGTAAGGACAGCTTCGTACGTTTTTCTTTTCAAATAGCTTCGTACGTACGGAATTAGAGTTACGGATCAGCACCACATTCAATCTCTGTCCCCCGTCCCCATCGCCGACACACTCACCTCATCCGCCCCACTTCACCGGTCGACACCCCGCCCCCTCTCAACCCTCCTTAGTCGCCGCCGCCGCACTCAACTCCGATCATGTTGGTGCGGCCGCATCCTCCCGGTAAGACCTATGAGGCCCGCGCCAAGAGAGTACTGGAAGAAGGCGTGGGACTACTTGGAGTTGACCGAGGACGACGCTCACCGTAAGGTTGAATTAGTCGTCGGAGGGACCCGCCTACCCGCCGCCCTCGAGTATTTTTGACTCAATGTTGATAGCAGCCTAGCAGAAATGGACGCCGCGCTCACGTTGGCCTTCCGATGCACAATATGGTGACTCTACTAGGTTTGCTCTTACATCCCCGTCTGCCAGCACAGGCCATAAAACCTCGAAACAGGCTTTCGCCCCGCTTTATATATAAGCAATCCCCAAACCAAGTACACGGTCGAACGATACAAGATGGTGAGGTAGCTCTCATACAATGTCGATCCCAAGATAATCTAATCATGCAGAACACGACTACGCTACCGAAAGAAAGCATTGGGAAAACCGAGTACAACGCTACACAATGCCCCAAACACCTAAGCTCCACGACAATACCCCGAGGAGGGAGAACGGTGCAGAGCATCGCCGTTGTCCAGAAGGGACCAGGGTCTTCACCCGAAACTCTGACACGAAGAGGAGCACCACGACGAGGTCTTCATGAAGATAACACCGCCCGCAAGCATCGTCGTCGTCAGCGACAAAGCGCAAAGCTTTCACTCGGCATCCCCCCTGAGCACATGCCATAAAACCACCCAGCTCATTTGACTGCACCATGTTTGGTGGTTTGGTCAATGGTCAAGTCAGACCCACTGTGTGAAACCGCAAGCAGTGGGGTAAAGATGAACAAAGGGCGGCAAAGCGACAACCAAAACTAGATTTGCCATAAACTAGATTTGCCATGGGCAAGGTTTTGCTGATTAGGCGGACGGGGACGCGAGTCCGATTAGGTGGGTAGGGAGGATACTCCCATCTGGTTTACACTCCCAAGTTGGAATATTGGCCATCACACACATCATCTTGACAAGTGGACCCAACCGGTTAAAATCAGGCAAATTATTAAAATGGGTTAAACTAGACACAAGACAACAATTTTGAGGTACAATGTGGCAGAAAATTTAAATGGGGTAAATACTATCACAAATACACAAAAACAGTGGGTAACATGTGAAATTCGCTCTCTTATTAACTGTGCGCTTTTTCAACAAAAAAATGTTGTGCATTTTTTCAGGTGTGTTAGCATTTGTTATTCAGAGAGAAAGTACCTCGCTGCTCGTAGTTGTAGGCACACATGATTGCAGAGCATGAAGCTTACTTCAATATTGATATTCTACCTGATGTATATGAAGTGTATTTCCTTTTTACTGTAGATGAAACGTATTTCAATACACTACTTACGAAGATTAAAAAAATCTAACAAATGAACCGTACAGTCATACATTCAGAGTGAAATAACAAAGCGTATCTCAGCTGCACCACAATTCAGGCAAGGAGCATCCATAATTTTGTTTCTGTTCCGGTAAGAAAGCAAAGTTACCACAGACCACACATATGAACTCATCCCACCACGATTCTAGGAAGAACTTCCCGACGATTTGTACCGATAAATAGTTCCATCATCCATGCTACCAAAAAAAGACATCAAAAGATCCGGTGAAGCTTTGAAAGCATTATCAGTGCTTACTAGGTCCTTGCTAACTACATAAGGGACGATTTGATCGCGGTAGGATTTAATATCTAGAAGACCCCGTAAACTTCTGGATGTCATGTTACATCCAGTCATCCCCACATTCATCCAGTTCTTGCTTGGCGAGTTCCCTCATAAACTTCTGGCCGCGGAGATCTAGTAGAAATATCAGAAAGTAGATGACTATAGATTAGGACCATGTATGAAAGAACATCTTCTAATTTAATAGAATACACTTCTCATGTAATAGAATATCAATGATACACTAAGCAGATCATATGCCACCTAAAACATAATTCGCTTTTCAGGAACATGGCAATGTGTGTCATTACATCTCAGTAAATAGCACACGAATATATAAACCAACAAACCAGTAAGGAAATACTGATACTGGAAGTAAATACAAAATGGTATATGAAGAGAAGGTATGACTCACGAGCATTCCCGCTCCGACGCACATATATATACTGAAGGGGTATACCATTTGCACTGAACATATGTGCCAAGGTATGGACTCTCCCATCATCCTTTGAGCATTTGATCTTAACCATTCTAAGCTCTTTGCAAGTAAATGATCTCCTCTCAAGCTTGATACCTGTTTCCAATGCCTTCCTCATGCCGAAGTTCTTTAGCACAACAACCAAATTGTTAATAAGCATGCGATCAGAAAAATAAAGTAAATGATCAAGTAGCATACACCAAATATGTAATCACACATACCAATTTAAGTTGGAGAAAAAGCCTCTTTATATTAGGTGAATGCTGTAGCAGGAAAATTAATGCATCAAAATCAGCGGCCATACACCATTCACCAAGGGACAGGGTCTTCAGGTTGCTAAAAGTTGGACACCTTTTCAATTCCCTACTCAGAACCACCTTCATATTGCAGCCAAAAGAGTATTTAGCAAAGAGCAGTAGTAAGTCGAATCAACTTCTCAGTTCTCACAATACAAACAGCATACGAGTGGTTTATTCAACAGAAAGAATAAAACAAAGATACCCATCTCAAAAAAGAAGGGAAAACAAAGATACCCATCTCAAAAAAGAAGGGAAAACAAAGATACCCTCCTTTGGTTCATAGGATAGGAAAATCATAAGAATAGAAAAGTCATTGGAAGTGAGATGACATGCATCTCAGTTCCTATAGGAAAAGAGATGTCACTTGGTTCATAGGATAGGAATTTTTCCATTAGGTATGAGCTAATGTTTTCCCCCCTTTGAAATGTGAAGGACAGGAACAGGTCCTACATGGGAATAGGAATTCATTCCTATATACCAAATGGCTCTATAGGAAATTTTTCATTTAGAAATCCTATCGTATATAATTCCTACAAAAATCCTTAATCAGTTTTCTAGTAACTGAAGGAATATCAGCCTTAGACTCTCTTATAATGACTGGATATAATTAATCAGTTTTTTACATTATATATAGTTAATCTGTTGAAAAGATATACTGTTGCAACAAAGAGAAAAACGACAAACAATCCTATGAGAATGTAAATGGTAAACAATGCTCCCTCGAAGCTACAGTGCCCTACTACATTTGATGGTTAAGCAAACTAGTACTACTTTATTCATTTAAACTCTGTACCCAGGTATTGACACCAGAGCAGAAGGTCAGAAATGTGTTCATTCGACACATGTGTTCTGTTCAAGGGAACATGACGTTTCTTTGTGAAACGTCCGGAAAAAAATGTCCGATGATAACTGCAGAAAATATAAATAGAAAATAAGAGAGGAAAGAGACAGATCAGTAAAAGATGGTGATAGCTATACCTCTCCAGCATCACTTAACAAGTCCAAACTCGTAGCAGTAGAAAGGCTCTCAAGCATATTTTGGCCACCTAGAATCTTACTATAATTTCGACCACTGTTTCCACCATACTTACCATCTTCACTGGAAAGCTTGGCCCCTTTGTAGCCATACTTTGCATCATTTGCAATCTCACTATATTCATAGGTATTGTCATCACTATCAATATCGCTACCATAATCATAATTATCCTTGTAACGACTGTGTCCATATCTTCCTTTAGGAAAACCATATCCAAATCCAAAATTATCAAAATTGCCATCATCACTGATGTATCCAAAGTTATCATCACTGATGTATCCAAAATCATCATCACTGATGTATCCAAAATCATCATCACTCAAGGAACAGTCATCATGAATCTTATAGCTCTCTCTCTTATCATTGTTGTGGTTATCATCATCAGTAGTTTCATCAAAATTATCTTCATCACTGATGTATCCAAAATCATCACACAAGAGAGAATCATCAAGTATGATGGTGCCTGTGACCAGTGACCCAAAGTTGATAAATGACGGAACTCGGACGGAAGGTGTGATGAGGCGCAGCAGCACGAGGTTCGGAGCAGTAATGGAGAAGTCCCAATTGAACGTGCATTTGAGCATGATTAATGTCTTCAAAGAGGTAGACACAATCTTAGGGCCAGTGACCAAGCAATCCTTCAGATCCAGCTCTTCCAAGGATTTGCAACTAGAAGAAAGCTGTCCAAGGATCCTATCGTCGAGCCTGGCATACGACAACTTCAAGATCTTGAGGTGGCAAGAGACGAAGGGCACGCGGTCCAACGACGCGACTCCCTTACGATGTCCAACAAGATGAATAACCCGCGCTTTGCGGCTGATAGCAGTCCTGATCCACGAGTTGGCATCTTTCTCGTCGAAGCCCACATAGTCGTCGCTGGACCGCAGGCGGAGCGTGTCCACCGACGCGGACACATCACGGTGGAGGAAGAGGCTGTCCACGAAGTCACGGAACTCCTCCGGCGGGTTGGCATCGCGGAAGGAGGAGTGGTGCACGCAGAGGTCGATGCAGGGCACAGACGCCCAGAGGTGGTGCCACCGCCGCGCGAGCACGCAGGTGGGCACCACCTCCCACGCCTTGAGGAACGACATGATGTGGTGCAGGAGCGCGTCCGGGAGGGCGCTGAGGCGGTCGACCCCGACGGCGCCGGCGCCGGCGGCGGAGGCTGATGCCTGGCCAGCGCGGCGGTAAGGCCCCCAGCGCCGGGAGGTTGTCCGGCGCATTTCGTCGAGCAGATGGCCTGCGTACAGGTTCGGGCACCCCGGCGTAAGGATTATGCAGGAAAATCCGTGGAGGAATGTGCGTATGGGGATGGGATCGCAGCGAGAGGGGCTGAGGGAGGAAGGGATCCAACTTACGGAGGGATTCGCCGAAATGGCGTGGACTTCTTTGCCGCTTTTGGATTTCGAAATTTTGGGGATGGAGTTCGATCGCCAGTTCGCTACTCGCCTTCTCCCCCGCACCAATTTTGTTTTCAGGGCTCTCCCCCGCAGCAAATGGGGCGGCGGCTGCTTCAGCCGATGGGCCTTTGGGCATTCCGCCGCGTGTGTTACCAAGGGGTGGCCCAGTTAGCAACCCATTATATTTCTCCAACAACAAATGTACTACTACAAAAAATTCTCCATTTTGTCTAAAAAATATCTCATGTTTCTAAAAAAAAGAATCCAACTAATGCATTCTACTGCTTCCAAGCGACGACACGGTTTTCTTTTGCCTAGAACGTTCTGGAGTAAAATGTCCCACTGGTCCATAAACTTGGACCAGATGCACACTTCTGTCCATTAACTCAAAAATTGCGCATCGGAAGGCATAAACCAGTAACTCCCTCTGTAAAAAAAAAGCATTTAGATTACTAATTTAGTGATCTAAATTCTCTTATAATTTTTTAAGGTCTCTGCGTCTGTCATCTGGCTTATGTTTCATGTAGCATTCAGATACTTTAGTTAAAAAAGATTTAAACACGACTTAAGTTTTGTGCAGGGGTCTAGATAACTTGACTGCTATGTTGTCTACTAAAACCTTATGGATTAACTCAAG